CTAGGGAAACATGGGAGTGCCTCTCAAATGGCAAAGGACTATGATCACACGTGGAGACGAAAGAACCTGAATAGTAAAGTACTCATCTTACACTTTTCACTGACAAGACGACGACTGTGGCTCACATTCTGTCTGAGACCACCCTTCCCACCCCACACATCCTCTGCACAATCAATCAAGTTGATGTAGCCACCACAAATTTTAGGAAGCAGGCTAATACATTAGAATCTTTCCTTACAATGGGACAGAATACAGTCTCACTAAATTGGAAGATAGAAAGGCAGGTAGGTCGTGAAAAGGGCAGGTGGGAGGAGCATTAAGACACTCAAAAACAACAATGCCAACCCTCTATCTGAATAAGATAAGTAAACAAAAGCCCATGGCCACAAAGCCTGAGCAAGACTTGGATGGCTTATTTAAGTGGGAGTTTCCACAAAAAGATAGGAAATGCCAGTTTGCAAACAAGTCAATAACCCTACTGAAGTATCCATTTGGTTAGCTAGCATTAGCTTATACTAACTTCATAAACCAAACTTCCATACTGACAACATGAAAAACAATACGAACTTCAGCAAGGGATGTGACATTAGCTGCAGGGGCAACAGCACAAGTCCTTACAAAATCTAGGGAAAAGTCTTCCAAGTTTATGTAATACCAACAAAATGTCAAATTCTTTCAGTCTCACTAAAATTATCCACATTAGGGAGCAACTTTCCCCCTACATGTCTTCTGGGCAAGCCAATGAAAACTAAACTCTTATTGAAAAGTATTTTAGCTTCCAAAAAGTACAAGAGACTTTATGACATGCATGTTTTGACTTGAACAAGCAGCTTACTGTAAAACAGTCAAGGACACTATAGGGAAAACAACAAATGATCTTCTAGTGTGAAAAAATCAAAGTTTCAATTTTTCTTTATGTTATGTTAAAAATTGCCAGAAACCACATTTCTAATACTTAAAAAAAGACACACCAAAAAGACATCACTTAAATTTGTCAAGTTTTTCATTCTTTTAACTACCAAATAGTAGCCCCTACTTTTCCATTTAAAATAGACCAGCTATTTCTCAAGTTATAACTTTTCATAACTGAATTTGTATTGTAGATGTCAACATTTAGATAATCAGACACCATCATTCTGAATATTTTTGTGTTTTAAAGACTGAATACTTTTTAACAGTTATTTAAGAGATTTGCTACAAAGAAGTTAACAAGTTTCATCTGTGGTATACTGTATACATCTACACCTTCAGTAATTAAACTTATTGGTCAATTAAGCTTTTGTGGAAACAAAATCTGTTCAACACTGTCAATTTTTTTTTTCTGACTTTGGTTTAAGGAGAAAAAGAAATCTAAGCAAAATGAGTCCATGTGGGTGTTTTATAAAATCAACCAATGACTTCAACAACCTTACTGACTGCACTTCCTATGCAAGGTCTTGAGAATCAAGATTTAAAATCTGGTTATTTTCAACACCTAGCAGAAAAAAAATCAAGATAAGAGAGTTTAACAGAATCCTCACTTTCCCTTTCCTACTCTAGTCAACTGAAGCTGTTCAGAACATCCTTAGTTCATAAACTATAAATCTCAGCTTTCACTGGGCTAGAGATGGCTCAGCTCTTAAGCGCACTGCTGCTGTTGCAGAGGACCAAGTTCGATTCCCAGCACCCACACAGCAGCTCACAACCATCAGTAACTCCAGTTCCAGGGGAATCCACTGCTCTCTTCTGGTCTCCACAGGCAATGCATGTACACAATGCACATAAATAGAAAACACACATCTAAAAACAAATTTCCACTTTCAAACTCAAACAGTGCCAGCCCTCCCCCCCTTTCATGTCAAACCCAGTTAACTGCTCAAACTGAAGAGCACACACATTCTCACAGCTCACAAGGTTCTCTGAAGGAAAAATGACCACCACAAGGATACTGGCTAGCACTGTATTTCACTTATTAGAAAGAACAAAATCACATCCGCAAACTTTGTCTTCAAACATATATTCAAATTTTATTATTATTCATTTTAAGAATTAGGTAACTAGGGCTGGAGAGACGGCTCAGCAAGGTTAAGAGTATTGGTTGTTCTTTTAAAGAACCCGGGTCCAATTTCCAGCAGCACCCACAATAGCAGTTTACAATTGTCTGTAACTCCAGATCCAGGGGGATCTGGCATCCTCACACAGGAACAAACTCAATGTACATAAAAAATAATTCCTTAAAAAAACAAAACAAAACAAAAACGTAGCTATCAAATAGTAGCTTACAAGTCAAAATGACATGCCTAACAAATACTAACACAGTATGTCAAGATGCCTAACAAGCCTATTTGTATTTAATGTTGGATCCCATAAACATGAAAAATGAGTGAATGAATATAGTGTGAATCCGATGCAGTCTCAGAGCAATACTGGCAGCAAGGCACCTCCTTTCACTCAGCAAAATGTTACCTGCTGGCAACTAACAGAAAAAAAAAATCACTTTCAGGAGCTAAATGGTTAACTATATATCATATATATCCATTTGGAATCCCATAAATTTATCTTGGCATGTCTATGTAGGAGGTTTGTACTAGTAGAATAAAATAGCCACAGGTGTATCAACACCCACTGTCAAAAGTCCCAAGCAAGAACAAGTTGCATGGAAATCAGATCAAGTCCAGAGCTCCTACCAGACTGTCTCCATCTCTACCCATGATCCATTCTTCCCAGTCCCTTTGAATCAAGTAATTAAGGCTTTCAGAAGCTTAACAAGTCTTGAGTTTAGCTACTTAAAACTCTATGTCCAATAGTGCAGAAAGCAAATGATTATAATGCCACCATCAAGTTAAAATTTTCTCTTAAAAGAGCTGTATTTCTTAAATGTTCAGAACCTACTACTGCAAGCAGCTCTAAGTGGTTCCTTGAGGAACGTGCTAAGGCTGAAATTTTGGAAGTGTAGGTTTGGTGGTGACCAAGGAGGAAGTCTCCAGCTTCCCAGATGCTGCAGTCCCCACCCTCCAAAATGATATACCCACCGGTGTGAATTGACAATGTAGTCCAAAGAGCAAAGCGGGAAACGAAGTCCAGATCCTCAAAATGGCAGTACAGGGAATACCCACTAGGCCACCTATCAGTTCAGTACAAAAAGTGCAACCCTGTGCATCACGATGTAAAAGTTGGGGCCTAGGTTTCGTACTGTGCATCTCACACCTATGGAAATAACAACAGGAGTAAAATCTACAGAAATCCACACACCCTAAAAAAGTGGGTGTGCACCAAGACTGGTGTCAACACTTGCAAAGGCCGTTGGCTTCTGAGATATGTACTGCTGGAAGGCTGAAGTTGGAAGGCAACAAAAATTTGCAATCAACTCTACTAAGTTGGACAATGAAGAACTCAATAGGGACCTGATGTTTACCAACAAAGCCTTGCAAATCATGACACCCATCTCTCATGGCTATGAAAATCACCACCCCCAAAAAACCTCTCAAGAATGACTTTTCACTCTCAAAAGAGTTGGAGAGATTTGGACTGACCAGTGATACTTCAAGCCCATTACTTGCAGGCTTTAAACAACTCCCTTTACCATCTGGCCTAGAAAAGAGAAGTCGACACATTCCAACCTTAAGGTGAAAGGATTCTCGAGAAAGGGAACCTATGACCTAAGGATGCACACCAAGACTGATCAGCAACCAAAGTTTAAGGGTGAATGGTTTGGAAAGAGTAAAAAAGAACTTTCCAAACGTTGAAGTGACTTTCTTAAAGAAAATCTCTCTTTAGACTTAATCCTTCGCCATGTTGCTGTCAGCTCAACTAAGCGCGAGTCTTGCTGGGCCCATTTTCGCGTGGTCTGTAGAAGGCGCTGTTAAGCACATCCTGTTCTAGTTCTGGGGCCCTTCCCCCCACTCTGCAGCCTTACCCAGTGCAGAGAATGCGCCCCCTACTGACTCCAACACTCACTGCCTTTAACCGACTTGGCTGCGGTGCATTTTGGGTGGGGGCTGATATTTTCTTCATGGCCATAAACCAGAAAAGCAACAATGCAGATTTATAAAGAAACTGCACAAAGCTATCCAAGAGACACCCCCCCACACACACCATTTTGAAGGTTCAAGATACAGGCACAAGAAACATCAGGGATGGGAACTGGGCGTCTGGGGCTGGACAGCATTAAAATGGCTAACACAGGAAACAGTCTGGTTCTTTTTCCCTCCTAAGCCTTTGTCTGTGAAATGGGGTTATGACAAGAACTGTCCAGAGGAACTAGTGGTTGAAGAGCACTGAGAAGATACTTGGGGTGTGTGGCAGAGAGCGAGGCGAAAATGGGTATTAGACTCCAGAGCCCGATCTTAGACAGAAGAGGAAGAGAAGCAATCGCGCCTTTTCTACCAGACAGGCATCCAGGTTGGGGGGTGGGGGGAGAAAAGGGTAGGTAGCCCAGAGGAAAGAGGCGGCGAATAAGAGGGTGCTCAAAGAACTACTCCCCATTCATTGCATTCGACAAACATCTTTTCGCGGCTTTCTGGATTTCCATTTTCTGACTGCAAAGTTGAGGCTCAGAAAAGCTCTAAAGAGGCAGTGCTGACCAGGAGGCTGAGATTGAGAGCAGGACTGGTGAAGGACTGTGGTTGGCAGGATGGGAGGGAAGCTGGCATGTTGTTGGGGTGGCAAAGACTTTCACTCCGTGCCATGCACTCCCCGCCCCCCGGGCCTTTCCCTTCCCCCCCAAGCCTAGGGTGGGCAGACCTGGCAGAAGGCAGGTTCCGGGGGCTGGGGGCGTGCGTAGGGGGGGAAGGGGCGGGAGGGGATTAGTTCTGGGGGGACGAGAGAGCGGGGTACTGCTGGGGGCGGGGTGCGGGAAGATGCCACCAGCCGCAAAAGCCTCGGGCGGCCGGCGGCCTCGCGGGGCGGAGAAGGGGGTCGGGCTGCAGGAGGGCAGAGGCCGGTCCAGAGCGGTGTGTGCGCGCGGAGTACAATGACCGCGCCCGGGGCCGGAGGCTGGCAGGGCAGGGCCACGGGCTTACCTTGGCTCGGCCTCGAGGCGTGCGCGGGGCCGGCGTGCTCCGGGGCCCGGCGGCGGGCGGGCGGCGGCACGGCGATGGCGGCGAGGACGCGCCCGGGGCCTCGTCGCGCGCGGGCTCCGGCTCGAGCCGCGGCCGCGGCTGCTGCCGGGGGGCGCGGCGGGCGCAGCAGAGCGGCGGGCGGCGGCGCGGGCAGTGCAGACAAAGGAGGGGCGGAGGGCGGCGGAGGGCGTGGGGCCGCGGCTTCACCGTCGCGGGCGGGCGGCGACAGCCGCGCGGCTCCTCGGCGGCGGGGACCGAGAGAGGGAGCTGTGTCTGAGGAGACGCCAAATCCCCCCGAGCGCGGCGCGGAGGGGGAGGGGGCCAAGATGGCGGCGGCCGGGGGGCGGGCGCTCAGCTCATGGGTCCCGGCGGCGGCGGCGGGTAGACCGGGCCGGTGGTGGTGGCGGCTGCGGCGGGCGGGGGAGGGGGCTAGTCCCGCGTCTCCCCTCAGCAGACAATACAAGCGCTTCGGAGCGAGTCCCCGAACCTGCCCTAGCCAAAATGGCGGCCGAGAAAGAGCGGAAGTGACGTAAGACCCTCATTAGCATAAGAGGACTCATTGTCCAGCTTAGCGGGGGGGGGGGCGGTGGGAGCCAGCGCCCCCCTTGCACGGGGACCCCCCAGGGACTGCACTCCGGCCCTCTGCTGCGCGGACCCCTACTTCTCTTATGGGCGGGTGCCTTCAGCACCCCAGCCTCGCCTGGGGAGATTATATAATCCCCACTGAGGGGGAGCTCTCGCGAGAACTTGGAGGATTTGCCATTGACCCACTAGGAGGCGCCGTGGATAATGGCCGCAGTGCGCTCTTGGGTGCTTTCCTCTGGCCGCAGCGCCGCCGGCGGAGGCAGAAGCAGTGGGCCGCAGCACAATCAGTCAGGTGGCTGTGCTGGGGATCCCTGCGCGGGCCCATCTGGGCCTGGACTACATCTGGAGGGAGGGTGCACGGGCAGCCCCGAAGCTCCACGTGCTCACAGAGCGTGCTCTCACAGGCTGAGAGGCAAGGCGAAGGGTTGAGCCCGATGCCTCCAGTCTTAAACGAAGTGTGATGCCCTCGTGCTTCACACATTCTCTTGAGATGACATAGCTCTGGGGCCGTCAACTCTTCCAGTGGACTGTTGTGGGATAATAGATGGACAGGGTCTCAAGATATTCTTCCAAGTCATCAGATGGCCATTTCTTGACTTAAAAGAGTTGAGGCCATTGGATTGGCAATGCCTAAGGATGGAAAGTTCTGGCGCTCACCCTCTGTAGTCATAGTTCTCCTATAATTTGGGCATACATGGACTGTTGACTTTGTCTCTTTGGATCTGCCCCAACCAACACACCATGTTAACGTCAACATCCTTGAGTCCACTTTAAATGAACAATAATTACCCTAGTGTAAACGCTCTTAAAAGTAGCAAGTGAAGTTGTGAAGGACTGGCCACACCCACTTTTTTTCCCTATAGGTGGGCTCCACACTTCTTTAAATTACAAATATGGAAGAGCCTGACAAACTAGATACAGCTCAGTGTCTAAGAGTTTGGTTAGGAAGTAGAACAAACCTTCATCTGAAACTATTATTTTCTGCAGGTATTAGAATATATATTTAAAAGCATAGTCAATGCCTCAAAGGAAAACAAGGGATAGAAGTTGTTTAAAAGGGGTGGGGCAAGGCCTTTCATCAAAGGCCTAGAGCTCTGGAACCTACACAATGTAGAAGACGGGCAAAAGGAATATGAAATAGGCAAAGTACATTGTGCTCTAGCTTTCCTTAGACCCTCAGATTTCCTACGGTGACACCACCAGTATGAAGAGTATCTGGATTTCATCACTGCCTTTGAAGCACAAAAGGTGCTGGATTCAGATGGAGGGGTTAAAAAAAAAAAAAAAGACGTCACCAGAATTAGTTCAAAAATGCAGTTTAAAAATTAGGCAGCATTCTCCTCTAAACATGCCCAGTCAGACTCCAGCAGTGACAGAGTGATTGTGAAGCTAAGAACTGAGACACCGAAGAAGACCAAAGCTCTCTGCTGCAATGAGATGTGTGGTAGCACTGCTGTCTCTACAGTGACTGATGTGGCTACTTAACTTCGGCTCCATGTACTTGACATTGAGTACTTAATGAAAGGTTCAAGAAAATAGATTCCTTAGCACTTCTAGTTATTAGGGATGAAGAAGTCACTTCCCCATGGATACTCAACAGGTTTTGGCAAAGGGGAACACAGTAGTGGCCTTTATTGGAATTTGTGCTATGAGTCCAGCTACGGGACTACTTGGGATACTTTAATACTCAAAATAAGATTTTAATCAATAGTCATTCCTGTTACAATCACCCAGAAAGAGGGAAATAAACATTAAGACTTTCAATTTCTTTAGCAGCCAAAATAAGGTGGGAAAACAGATATCCAGATTGTGTCTAAATCATGATACACACCCATAATCCCACCACTCAAGAGGGCAAGAGGACCAGTAATTCAAAAACCAGTCAACTACAGAGGAAGTTGGAAGTCAGCTTGGGGTCTATGGTACCTGGACTCTGTTCACTAAATTTGATTATCAAGTAACCTAGAGGCAGATTTCTTGCAAGGGACAGGCAATCTATCTCATGTATTTATTCAAAACCTAAATCATGTTACATGACCTGAAACTATGCTACAGATAGAAATTCACTGACTTTTAAGAGTTAGAAAAGGTTGATAAATGGCGTACTTGCCCCAGTTGCATGAAGCAACTTATCCTTCATTTTGACAAGTAGAACATTTTTCTGGATGAAGAAAAATAGTATACATTTGTGTTATGGTGGCAAGTTTGTTGAGGTATTGAAATAATGTAAAAACAAGCATTTTGAGATAAAACAAGATAAAATATTCTTTCCAACAGAAGTTAGTGCTCAAAAGGAAAAAAACAGAACAGTAGCTCTGAGCCAACTGCTGCCAAGCTCTTTTCCACCTCACAATGTACACTTTGCTTTCAGTGGACAAGCATTCTCACCAGGCTAAGTCTGCATGCAGAGAGCACTACTTTATCTGGTTCAGAAATCTGAGATGTACTTTAAGGTCAGAGATTTTATTTTATTTTTTCTAGTTCATACATAAACTCCCTATAAATGTAATAACCTTCCCCTTCTAGTATCTAGGTAGAAAGAACATCAACCTAGTTTTACAGAGTATTTCATATTTTTTTTCATAGAAACTTCACACAAACATATCTGATGGAAGCAGCAACATTTTTTTTTTTACACAAAACCTATATACATTTATTTATAGGTCTTAATACAGCACAATGTACATGAAAATTGAGAACACTGCTCATTAAACCAATAGCTTTAAATTTTAATTTAAAATATAAAATGGAATTTCTCCAGAGAAATGATCCGTAGGAAATGCACCTTACCTTTGGCTCATGTGTTAAAAGAACATTGATAAAAATCAGTGATTTGGGCTTCTCTTTCTTTTAATTGAAATGAACACAGAACTTATAAGTGAACAGTTTCTTTTATGTTGTAGCAAAGAGAGTCAATAATCCTTTCAGGAAACAGACTATTTCATTTCCTCCCAACTTGGATTCACCATAAACTCGATCCACAAATGATATTGGAACCTGGTTAAAAAAATACACATACATTAAAGTCAGTCTTCAAGTGATGACGTCACCAATTAGGGTTACAGCATTACAAAAGCAAAGCCTCAACCCACAGCACCAGTCCGACATGGACACTGACAGTCTTAGTTCTTCAAGTAACTGACCTTTAGCATATTCATTATCTAAAACTAAGCCATCTAACCCAAATCTATAGTTGTCTGAGGAGCACTGATTCCCCAATATGATGTTGTCCATTCAAATGTCAGGTTGTATTTCCAGAAAAACCACACTTAAAAAAAAAATGACTTCACTTTTTTTCTCACTTCAATTTAAAGATCACGATAGAGTTAAATTACACATTTCCTAATGTTCATCAGGAAGAGACATTCTGGGAGGGGCTGTTTTTCTTGCTATGAGTAAGGGTTTGGAATTAGATATGGGGTTGTCTCCAATAACTCAGCACCCAGCCTGAAACCTTGCCTCCAGCTGGTGCTTTGTAACTCTGGACATTTACTAAAAAGAAAAGCAGCAAGGAGCTCATACTGCCAAGTTAACTATTCTGAAGGAGGAGGTACAAGAAACCACACCTTGGTATAAATCGCAGTAGGTCAGACACACCCATCTGAATGTTCATGTTGTAGTATATGGACACTCCAAATAACCAGAAGTCTAAGACATGGACAACTCAGCACTAGGAAAGCTGTGCTTTTGTAAACCTGTTTCTGGGGAGTAGGACATAGAACAGTCGCTCACCTCACCGATGGTGTAATTCAACTGTCTTGCTCGAACGATCATCTCCATCTGAAAGACATATCCTTTGGAGACACATTTTTCTATTAATTTCTGTAGAACTTCTTTTCGGTATAATCTGTAAAACAGAATATTTATGAACATATGGACATGTTCCTATCATCCAGATCCTGAACTTTCACAACTCACTGGTGTCTATAATCTAAAACTCAGTAGTCCCTGCTGCATAGACAAGTCCTTAGAGTTTGTGATCATGTGTCTTGGGCAAGAAGTACCTGCTAGGAGCCTGGAATACTTTTGAAAATGAGTTATTTGTAGCAAAAATAATAAACCCTAGAGACAGATATTGGGGTCTAACCTGAAGAACAGAAAAGCAAAGCAGCCAAGCCACTAGAGAGACCTTTTAACTTTACCAAATCTTCAGACCAAAGGGGTGAGAGCTCGTCTCCACAAATCCTCAAACTCCATACTCCACTGACTTCCTATCTTTTCCCATTCATATTCCTCTCTCTGCCTAGCCATATCATTCCTGTTTCTACCTCCCTTGTGCTGGAATTAGAGGCGTGGGATCCCAAGTGCTGGAATCACTTTTGGGTGAGCTCTGTTTCTCTTTTAGACAGATTCAATCTTGTGTAGCGCAGGGTGGCCTTGAACTAACCGAGATCTGTCTGCCTCTGTCTCCCCTGAGTCCTGAGATTAAAGGTGTGTGCCACCACTCCCTGGCCTGTATGGTTGACCAGTGTGGCTGCTTTGTCCTCTGATCTTCAGGCAAGCCTTACCTATTAAAACACAAATATACCACTATAGTTCTTAATGTCCTTTTGAGATTTATACTATCAGAAATTATGAAATATGGTAAATTAGTCACCCGATACACAAGCACCGGTACTTTTGAAATTACTTTTGAAGTGGACATGCTGGAATGGCAGAACTGAGAGATGAAGTTATGACATGTGTACCAAGGTGATGAACAGAACAGCCCAGCAGTTAGCAGGCTTGACTACAAGGGTTAAGGTCCTGAGGACAATGAGATTCCTCATTTTCCCAGGAAAAGCAGCTAATACTATAGGTGAGCTAGGTTAGACTAGGCACCACAGGATGGAGGCCAGCCTGCAGACATCTGAGAACAATTGAGGTCACAATACTTGCTGTATGCAAATCCCTTAGATCAAGCACACCTTGATACTCAGTTTATAAAGTAAGATGGGGAAGACACGTGGGGAATAGAATCCAATTCTTCTGTTCAGGAAATCCAAGCAGCAGGAGGCATGAGTCTTTAGAAGGCGTTTTATTTATTTAAAACTGTAGGCAGGAGGGCTACAACTTCTTTTTAGATTTTAAGTCTCTCTCCTGTACACACACACACTGAAGTGACAATTTGGCATAGCTATATTCTCTGAAGATCAATGGAAGAAAGTGACTTAGATACCAACTCTTCCTACAGTCTTACCCTAGGCTCCTGTATCTTTTAGATTTTAAGCATGGATAAAACAGACTACACAGACTCATTTATAGAAAAGCAGGAATGGTAAGGGCTGCAGGCTTTGCTGCAAAGGATGCTGTGGTTGGGATATGCACATGCTATTCTCCAGAGCGCACCAGTAATAGTCATGCTTCCAATGGGCAGCCAAGCCCAGCACTGAGGTAAACAAGCATGCCAAAGCCCTATATTTGACTTGGAAAGCAGGAGTCTAACACACTGCCTTTAACAAGGTTCTCTGGAGTTCCAGTCTGCTGACCAGTCACTGTGGAAGAAAAGCTCTTTTTTGGGGGTGTGGGATGTTGAGACAGGGTCTCTCTATGTAGCCCTGGCTGTCCTGAAATTTACTATGTAAACCAGGCTGGCCTCAATCTCTGAGATTCTCCTGCATAGTGGGATTAACATGCTCAGCTGGGAAAGCAGTTCTCCTAACAGCCTCTCTCTCTTTCTTGGTTTTCGAGGCAGGGTTTCTCTGTGTAGCCCTGGCTGTTCTCAAACTCACAGAGGTCTGCTGGGATTAAAAGTATGTGTGACCACTACTTGGCCTCTTAATGCAAGGAATCAAGGGAAAAGTTCTAGACATAGAAGAAATACTGTACCTGAAGCTTCCTGTTAAGTCTGACGCTCCTGGTCTCAGCAAAACCTGAGTTATAAAATTGGCCCCACGGCTGCCAAATGAATCAGATTTTCCTTATTAATATATTTAGCAACAAGAGAAATAATGTCACAAATGCTAGTCATTAATAACTGTGATATCAGTTTCACACAAAAGTTAGTTCTCTTAAAACAGTGCAATGAGATCTGACACTTTTCAGGAAAGAGTAGGATTTTTACCTTTGTAAGTAAGAAAGATAGAGAAGAAACCAGAAAATGACTGCCCTGCCTTCAGGGGGGAGATTGCTTACCAGCATAAATACACAAAGGCCTGGGCTCCATCCCCAGCACTGCATGGACAGTGGTGGTAATGACTGCCTGGGTTACAAGAGACACCGAGTCTCTCTTTCTTACACACACACACACACACACACACACACACACACACACACCTCATTCCCTATCCCAAATCGAACTTTAGATAGGAAGAAAAATAAGTCATTTAAACCCATAAATGCTTTGACAGAAAAGATTTGATAAAGTTTGCGGGTAGAAAAAGATAAAAGTTTCATAAGAAGTGTCTTTTTCAGATTTCAGCAGAGACTAACTTTACACCTAGCATGGTGGCTCAAGGCTACAATGGTAGTGGCTCAGGAAGCTAAAGTAGGAGGATCACAAACTCTGAAGAAAAACAGCATAAAAGTGGGATGGGCGGTGGGGTGTGCTCCAGGTAGTATCTGGATACCATACATTGTACTCTGATACATTATACACTGACTTAAACTGAAAATGTATTCTCCTGGTTTTTGGAGAGAAATTAAAAAAGCAAGGTGCTGGAGAAGTGGGTGGGGTGGTGCTAATTCCATCAAAGGGGTCATCCCATTATCTTCCAAACTAATCAGCTTCCAAAGACTCCAAAACACTGGGGTGGGGATGGAGGATCTCATTTAACATAGGAATTTGTAGGTAGCAAACACTCAATCCACAAGAATGGCTCTAGACTAACAGACCCCACTGCTATATTAGCATTTCAAATGGTGCGGATAAACCCTATCTCAAAAAAACCAAACCAAAGAAACACACACACACACGCCCATGATGTTAGAGACAGCAGCTGGGATGATGGTTACCAATGAACATTTTTCCAGTTTTCAGTTGCATCTAAAATCTGTGATACTATTCCAAGACACAGTGCCCCCCCCCCCCAAAAAAAAAAAAACCAGAAGCTTTAGAGAGCTTATGTTTCACTGTTGTGGTACTTTAAATGAGAATAAAGTTGTGGTATTTAAAAGAGAATGACTCCACAGATTTATACATTTGAATACTAGGTTCCTAGTTGATAGAACTGTTCAAGAAGGATTAGGAGGTGTGGCCTTGCTGGAGAAGGGTGTCACTAGGGGTGGGCTTTGAGGTTTCAAAAGCTCAGGTCAGTCTGTCTTGTTCTTTCTGCTCCAACTTGCCTACCTGCAGGCCTGCCTGTTGCCATGCTTCCTGCTATGATGATCATTAGCAGTCAGCAAGCCTTCAGTTAAATGCCCTCCTTTATAATTTGTTATGCTAATGGTGTCTCTTCACAGCAATAGAATACTACTGAAGACAGAAGTGTCTGTCTGTATTACTGTGTAAGATTATTTTTGGTTTGGGCTTTTTGTTTTGTGTAAGACAAGGTCTTTTACCCAGGCTAGTACTGCCCATACTTCAGTGTATGGATTATAGAAATGGGTTGTTATATGTAGTCGATATGGTAGGGATTTCCAGGGCTTCCTATATATTAGGTGATCATCTTCAGCCCCCAAACAATGTTTCTATTTTGTTTTATTTTCTGTTTATTTAAGACAGAATCCTGTTATGCTGCCCAAGTTGGTCCCAAAAGCCTGTGTTTAAGTCATCCTCCTGCTTCAGCCTCTGAATATGGGAAGGGGGACAACAGGCACCTGGCACACTGCCCAGTGATGGTGGATTTTTAATGAACGAGTGGAATCCTTGTATGACCTTGAATTAGAATGTTTTGATTAAAATGTGTTAAGTCACTCAGTTTGTGTTTGAATTCATTATGGACCACACTAAGGAGACCAAGAGCCTATACAGTACAGACAGTAACTACTATCATCAGATACAACTAAATGCCATGACTAAAAAAAAGGTGTGCTCATGATTAGACTTCCCTAATTTGAATTAAAAGGTTAATGAATGAATGACCAAGTTCAAAATGCCTTTAGAGATTAATATAACTCATTTTCAGCCTCAGCTGAGCCTGCCTCCAACCTCTGGAGACTCCCAGTCATATAGTCTGTAGAATGGGTTTGAGAAGGCCAGAGTAGCAGTGTGTGTTCCTCTCCTTCTAAGATTTTAGTGTTTAGCAGTATTGAAAACTACTACTTATCCAATCTCTGTATTTCACAGAAGATTAAGTCTCTTAAATGTTTTAAATGACTACCCCAAGATTCCACAAGTGAGGTGAACTAATCTTCAATTAGATGAGGCAGTGGCAGAAGATATTACTGGTAGGTACAACTCTCTCCTTCTTATCACCCTGACAGAGTGGGGTACACTGGATATCTAAGTTTCTTAAGGGTTTTCACACCAAGAGCCAGACTATTATTCCCCTATTTGTTTATAGAAACACTGATCTACTGCTTGGAGCCCTAGCAGTAGATGAAGGGCATGGGGAAATGGCTCAGGCAGAAAAGTGCCGGCCTCAAATGCTTAAGACGCCAGTGGGATCCTCAGAATCCTCACTGAAAGGCAGAAACCCTATCTCAAAATATAAGGTGGAAGGTGCCTGACACTTAAACACCTGTGTTGCACATGTCCCTGACCTGTCTAAAAAACACACACACACACACACACACACACACACACACACACACACACAAAAGCAGCCATCAGAACTCAGATGTCCCAGCCAACCAATAGCACCAACCGCCTGGTGTGTGACCTGCTATCTTAGCCAACCCTGTGTTGAAGAAAGTGAGCTGCAGGTGCAAGGCCAGGGGAAGGTAGTGGAGGGGCTGCCAGCCAGCCCATGGAATCCTAATCAACTTGGAGATGGGTTGTCAGACAGTATCAGAAAACTAGAATGCTGGCTATATGATGAGCAAACCTTTAAAAAGGCAAATATACAAGGTAACACAATATTGAGAAACATAATTTTAAAAGATCTGTCTGACTTAAAAGCTGCTATCATCAAGTGCTGGGTTTACTAAACACGGTTATTCCCAAACTGTATTATACAAAACTGCAGACCAGGGCTATCAAGGGTTCTAGTAACAGTGCTGATTTCTCCCCAGTCAAAGGAAAACTCTTAGCAAAGAAAAAACTGTAGGTAAGACCTTATCTGGGAAGTTTTGTCAGCAGTTATAGCCGGATCCTACAAACCCACCAAAGGCCCCGACTGTGGTAATCCAATCCTAGTATTCCATCTATTTTCATAGTTTCCTTGTAGAGAAATCACGTAACATGCACACATACACACATGTACCTGATTAGCTTTCTTTTCAAATCCCAGCCATAAACACCCCCATTTCCTTTGTAGCGAGTTCCAGAGACAATATCAAAATTACCCTCCTTTTGTTTCCTGTGGGAAAAAAGATAACTCAGTTAGATAAAGTTCTTAGGCTGTCACCAGGCATCTTCACAAACCTCACAATCACGTTTTTTTTTTAAATATTTATTATGTACACAATATTCTGTCTGTGTGTATGTCTGCAGGCGAGAAGAGGGCACCAGATCTCATTACAGATGGTTGTGAGCCACCATGTGGTTGCCAGGAATTGAACTCAGGACCTTTGGAAGAGCAGGCAATGCTCCTAATCACTGAGCCATCTCTCCAGCCCCTCACAATCACGTTTTAAGGGAAGCAGAGGCAAAGCACGAAGTCAAGCAGACATCTCAACTGTCCAAAATGAGTCTTTCAAATCTAAACTATCTTGAATTTTATTAAAAAATTTTTTAAAAGTTTTTTGAGACAGGGTCTCTCTGTGTAGCCCTGCCTGTCCTGGAACTTGCTCTATAGATCAAGCTGGCCTTGAACTCAGAGAGATCCACCTGCCTCTGCCTCCCGAATTAAATGTGTGTGCTAACATTGACTGGTGAGTTTTATTAAAAATTTTAAAAAGTTTTATGTGTATTGGCGTTCTGCCTGCCTGCCTGCATGTCAGCATACCATGTTTGGCCAGAAGAAGGAGCTGGGTCTCCTGGAACTGGAGTTACAGCTGCCACATGGGTGTTGGGAATTGAACTCGGTCTTCAGGAAAAGCAGCCAGTGCTTGTGACCAGTAAGCCATCTCTCCAGTCTCTTTATTTTTCTTATACTGGACCATGAGCCCAGGGATTCTATCTGCTGACTGCACCACATGCTGGCTCCAAGCCCTTCTCCACTGTCCAGGCCTCTTCTGCAGGAAAGGCCAGGAACCTCCAGGTTGTTGTTCCTTATACCTAACAACAAGACATCCATTTTCCCACTAAGAGTTTTGTTGTAATCATTAACTTAGAATCCAAGTATGTATCAGCATAAATCAATAGAAACCCTTCTAATTCTTAGACTGGGACAAACAACACTAAAAATAATAAAAAACAAGGACTCATTATATAGTCTAGGCTGGCCTTGAATTCATAGCACTTTTGCGGACACTGCTTCAGCAATGCTGAGATTACAGATGTTGCCGCTGTGCCTAGTACTTCACCCCCTCCACTCCCTCTCCCCTGTGTTGAGACAGGGTCCATGTAACCCTGGTTGTCCTAGAATATTACGTTGACTAGGCTGGCATTGAACAACAATGATCAGTTAGTTCTGTTTGCTTCTGCCTCCCTAGTGCTGGGATTAAAGGCTTGTGCCACTATGCCTAGCAAGCCACTCTTTTTTTTTTTTTTTTTTTTTTTTTTTAAGTTAAGGTTTCTCTGTAGTTTTGGTGCCTGTCCTGGAACTAGCTTTTGTAGACCAGGCTGACCACAAACTCATAAAGATCTGCTTGCCTCCCGAGTGCTGGGATTAAAGGCGTGCACCACCATCGCCAGGCAAGCCCATTCATTTTTAACACTTGCAAAAATGGTCCAATTCAGATCAGATACTGGTTGTTTTTTATTACCTTGATAGAAGCTAGAGTCATTAGAAAAAAAGAAACCCCAACTAAGAAAATGCTTCCATCTCAGACTGGTCTGTGAACAAGCCAATGGGGTATTTCATGACTGATGATTGCTGAGGAAGGGCCTAGCCTGATGTGGCTGGTGGCATCCCTGGGCAGTAGTTCTGGGGTACATAAGAAAGCAGGCTAAAAGGTCAGTTATACAGTGTTCCTCTATGGCTTCTGTTTCAGTCCCTGCCCTGACTTTTCTCAGTGATGGAATGTGACCTGGGATGCAAGATGAAATAAATCCTGTTGTCAGGAGTTTTTTTGGTACCGCCAGCTCCCTAATAATTTGGCTCAGGCTTGCTCCCAACTAGCTCCTCTAAGTTAAATTAACATGTTTCTATTAATATACATTCTGTCACGTGGCTCTTTACCACTCCTCCATTTTATATGTCTGACTTCCTGTGTCTTACTGGCAAAATTTCTGAGCCTAGATTCATCCCCTCCCCTCCTCAGTTCCTCTCTTCCCCGAAAATCCCCCATAACCTCTCCTGCCTAGCTATTGGCCATTCAGCTTTTTGGTAAACAAATCACAGTGACACATCTTCACATAGTATAATAAAAAATTTTGAAACAAAACCCTCTACTCCCTAAGTTGCTTCTGGTCATGGTGTTTATCATAGTGATATAAACCTGACTAGGACAGGGACTGTTTTCACTGTCTCTCACCTCAACAGAATCACAACCAGTAATGCCCAAATAAAATTTCTTTAAAATAATCAGCATGCTTAGACTTTCAAATGGAATACACTAAAATGGCTAAGACAAAGCTCATGCATCTTGACGTATTCCCACATTACTTCCTAGAGAGGCTCTGTCTATGACTCACCTCCTTCAGCAGCATCGCATATGTCCGGCTTATCATTTTACTGGTTCTTTAAAAGCCTCCACCTCTGACAGACTTAACCGGTGACAGGCACCTTCACGATCACAACAGGATGGACTTCTCTCATGCTTTACTGGTCACATGGAAATGGTTTCCTTTAATTCCCTTTTAAGCTGTGGCTGCTGACTGACAACGTAGTGAGGGATTACACTGTAGAATCAAGACGCCTAGAATCCTGGTACTCCTGGACCAAATCCTATGGTTTATGGTCTTTTTTTTTTTTAAATATTTATTTATTCATTATGTATACAATATTCTGCCTGTGTGTATGTCTGCAGGCCAGAAGAGGGCACCAGACCTCATTACAGATGGTTGTGAGCCACCATGTGGTTGCTGGGAATTGAACTCAGGACCTTTGGAAGAGCATGCAATGCTCTTAACCACTGAGCCATCTCTCCAGCCCAAAGATTTATTTCTTTTTTCTTTTTTTTTGATTTTCATTCTTTCTTTCTTTTTTTTAAATATTTATTTATTTATTGTGTATGCAATATTCTTTCTGTGTGTATGCTTGAAGGCCAGAAGAGGGCACCAGATCTCATTACAGATGGTTGTGAGCCACCATGTGGTTGCTGGGAATTGAACTCAGGACCTCTGGAAGAGCAGGCAATGCTCTTAACCGCTGAGCCATCTCTCCAGCCCGGTTTATGGTCTTTGACTATAATAAGTCAAGCCTAATTCTAGACAACAAGGACTTCATCTTTTCCATGTCCTGAAAGAAAAGAGAATAGAACCACCCACTGATGGTTCCTAACGGCTCCTAACATAGGTCATTTAGTCACAGGCCTGTATTTATGAGTTTCAAATCTCTATAGTTAAGTTTTGATAGAAAAGTTAAAGTGGCATGTATATTTTAAATGAACAAACTGAATTTTAAATTTCTAGTATTAGAAATATTAGAAACAAGGCTGAAAAGATGGCTCAGCAGTTAAGAGCAGTAACTGTTCTTCCAGAGACTCTGAGTTCAATTCTTAGCAACCACATGGTGGCGTACAGCCATCTGTAATAGGATGCCCTCCTCTGCTATGCAGGGTGCTCATGTAGAACACTCATATGTAAAATATAAATTAAAAAAAAGGGCTGCTCCCCCCCACCAAAAAAAATACTAGAAACAGTACCTACCTGATAAATTCAGGAATAAATTTGGGCTGAAATTTGGAAAGAATAAACAGTAAGTCAGCAACATATGACAAGTCTCATAAACACCTAATCAAGAAAGGCAAACTAGGTGCAGTAGTGCATACCTATAATCTTAGTATTCAACAGATAAAGCAGGGGAATCCCCGCACCCTTCAGACTAGTCTAGATGACATAGTAAGACCAGCTCAACATAGAATAAAACAGAACAGAGAGTGGTAAAGGCCACTTACATGATGTGAGAGGTCAGCATCCATAATGATGACATAGTTTCCTGTGGCATGTTTTATTCCATGAATATAGGCAGTTCCTAAAAATGAAAGTAGTTAGACCCATTAACAAAAATAACCAGAAGGACCTGGAGAGGTGGCTTAGTGGTTAAGAGCACTGGCTGCTCTTCCAGAAGACCTGGTTCTAGTCTCAGCACTGATATGGCAGCTCACAACCACTGTAACTCCAGCTTCAGTGGATCTGCTGCCCTGTTCTGGACTCTGCAGACAATTCATGCACATGAGCATAGACATACATAGAGGCAAAATACTTAAAACAAAAATCCAACCATCCCTATATTTAAAAATAGCAAAAAAAAAAAAGTTTTAATACAAAAGTCTCTTCTTTTTTTGGATGGGGTCTAGGTGGGGGTTTTACTCCTTGAACTCAGGAGATCCTTCTGCCTCAGTCTCAAGCTGCTAAGAGCTACCATGCCAAGCTTCCAAAGTTTCAGATTATATAAACATCATTATATGTTTATGCTCCCTGTCGCCCCACCCAAAAATAACCTCCAAACACCAAACCTTCTTGCTAACGCTTTAGTGTCTTCTTGAGACAGAGGCCAGGTTTCTCAGAGTTCCATATGTACACATCAGCTTCTAGCCATGCCATCTTATCTATTTCTTTTTTTTTTTTTTGGTTTTTCGAGACAGGGTTTCTCTGTGGTTTTGGAGCCTGTCCTGGAACTAGCTCTTGTAGACCAGGCTGGTCTCGAACTCACAGAGATCCGCCTGCCTCTGCCTCCCGAGTGCTGGGATTAAAGGCGTGCGCCACCACCGCCCAGCGCCATCTTATCTATTTCTTTTTCTTTCTTTTTTTTATTTATTTGTTTATTTATTTATTTATTATGTATACAATATTCTGACTGTGTGTATGTCTGCAGGCCAGAAGAGGGCACTAGACCTCATTCCAGATGGTTGTGAGCCACCATGTGGTTGCCGGGAATTGAACTCAGGACCTTTGGAAGAGCAGACAATGCTCTTAACCACTGAGCCATCTCTCCAGCCCCCCATCTTATCTATTTCTTAAACCTCAAATATATTCCAGTGACCCCCCCCGCACCCCCCCACCACTTCCTGACCCTCTAACAAGCTACTATGCAGTAAATAGCACCAGGTGTCTGACTACACCACTCACGCCCAGGAAAGGCTCTGAATTCCTGTTTCTGCCAGCGACTCCCCACTGTGACTACAAGGCACACTGGCTGTATAGCCCTACCTCAACCTTTCACTACTCTGCCTCCACCTTCCCGTTGCTCTAGGCATTACCTTCTGGTCCCAGTTTCGTTTCCCAGCCAGTTTCCCTCCTGTTCTTCCCTCCACTCCAAGTCAGGTTCCCAAGGGGCTGTCTACTGAAGGTCAACTGCAATCTGTCAGGTATACTAGGACCCCCTGAGAGCACGTGGCCAGGGGCCCAGCTATCTCATTTTGCCGTATCTGTGTAGAGTCTCCCATTCAGGGCTTGCCTGACTAGCTATGTTGGGATGACTGGCAATTCCTGCACTCTTTATCCCGAGCACCATCACAATCCACAGCAGTCCAGTTTCAATGACTGATACCAGCAGAGCATTTCAAAATGAGAGACTTCCTGACTTTTTTCTTTTTTTTGAGACAGGGTCTCACACTATGTTGTCTGGAATTTGTTATGTAGACTAGGCTGGTCTCAAACTCATAAAGATTCCACCTGCATCTACTTCCCGAGGGCTGAGATTAAAGACATGCACCACCGAACGTGGTTAGGGAGGCTTTTCAATGTCCCAACTACTGAAAACTGACATGTTTGAGGTGACAGAAATGCCAAATTCCTTATCTGATCCTTGTACCCTGTACACAGAAGCTAGTGTCACAGTGTGGGCAGTTACTAGAGATCAATGAAAGCAGAAACAAGTTCTAAAGACAAAACACCACAAACATCTCATTTAGAGCACTGAGCTTTCCTAACAACTCTGACTGATTGACTCTAATGTTTTCACTGATTGTTCAAAAACTCTGGCTTTTTTGGTAGCATCTTCCAGATCATTTCAATCTCAGAGAATCTGTGGACTTAGAAGCTCAAGCATTTGATGCTGCTAGCAAGTTCATTCAGGACAGAAACCTTTCCTTTTCTCTTATCCATGTGTGTTTGAAGTATGCATGCTTTCTCTCTTTGTGGGAATGAGGTATGCATGTGTAAGCACGTAGAGATCCGAAGTCATACTCAATCCTTCTTTTACCTCACTTATTAATGCAGGGTCTCTCAATCAAATTCAGAGCTCAATGATATGGCTAGTCTCACTCCTTTGTTCTGGGGTTGAATTACATACAGGTGAGTCACCATGTACACCCAGAATTTCTGGAGATCTGAACTCTGGCCCTCATGTACAGGCCATGTCCCCAACCTCAGGATAACAGCTTCCTCTGTTAAGGACTATGAATTGAAGGCATTTCAAGTTTCCTCTCAGAACCACTGGGCTCATCTGAAATACTCTAGAACAACAAGCGGTTTTCAAACCATGTGGGTCTCGACCACTTTGGGGGTCAAATGACCCTTTCAACAAGGGTTTAGTATCAGATATCCTGCATATCAAATATTTACATTACAATTAGTAACAGTAGAAAAATTAGTTATAAAGTAGCAAATAAATAATTTTATGGTTGGGTTAGCCATAACATGAGCAACTGTATTAAAGGGTCAAAGAATTAGGAAGATTTGAGAATTACTGCTCTAGAATGTTCTGTTTAAGGTGAAAACTTTTTCATTCTTAGAAATAATCACCTTTTAGACTTACCATTTAAAGACTTTGCAAAGTATATACTGATCCCAGATGTACACCCTCAGACACATTCCCGGGCTCTTCCTTTATCTAGGCTACATTATACAGAACCCCACTTCCTAGATTCTTGTCCCTTGTGTTCCAGAGTTTTGGGAGGACAAGTAAAGAGTGCCAGGAGAAACCAGGGACATCTAAGTAATCCCCTCTGCATGGCATCTAGCGTCAGCTGAGCAGCTCCACACCCACCTTCGCCCTCCCCACATTCTGCTCCCTCCCTCTAAACTAACCAGGTTTCTGAGTCCTACTCCTCTGCACCCTCCAGTCTCCTGCCCACTCCAGCCCCTCACTAGTCAGCTTTAAATCAGGCTTCTGAACAATGTTTTCCTTGTTAACTAGAATCCCTGTACTAAATATCTGATTTGGACAGAATTATAATGCTTATGTTTTGCTGAGTCGGTCCTGATTGATACAGGCAACCCAAGTGAAACCATTAGGGTGTTGTGGAGATCACTCAAGGCTGACTGTACTAGAGTTTTTTTCCAAACTGGGTAAACAGTGGCAAATATGACTAGGGCAGGTAACAGGAAAAGGTTAAAGCCCCTACCTACCGAGGCCCAGCTTTTTCTCCCGTGGTCTTAGGAGCTGCAAGAAAAAGAAACAACATATCAACACAAAAAGACAACAATATTTTAAATTTTTTTACTCCTATAAATGCATACTCAAGACTATAGTTTCAAGGATCATTTAAGTTTGTTACTATAAGTGCAAACTCATTTAAAAAGATTAGTTGACTTTATTAGACCCTGAAGCAGAGCATATTCAACATTTTTGCCCGAAGTTAAAAAGGCGTTTGGGGGCTGGTGATGAAGCCTACTATCACGGAGACCCTAACCCTCCTCAGCACTGTGTAGACTACAGTGTAACACCAGCAATCACTCTCCTCAGCACTGTATAAACTATGGTGCAACAACAGCAGTGCCAGTGTTTGGGAGGCAAGAGCTCAAGCTCAGAAAGGCTGAGCCAACCCAGACATTAGGATGCCTATATCTAACAACAAAGCAAGAAAGTAGTCATCACGCCAGCCAGTTCAACAGTCTCTCTGCAGCTCTTTTCTGTCTTCTGTATTCCTTTACTCCATCTTCCTCTTCCATGCAGCTGCCAAGACTTACAGTTATCCACCCTGAAGTCTTTCTTTTAAACCTAAAAAAACTGTCCTCAAACTTAAAACAAACAAAACTCTAAAACAACAAAAACAAACAATCATGAACATGTTAGTTATAGTTGTAAGGTTTAGACCTGCAATTCCAGCATCTGGGAAGCTGAAGCAGGAGAATTGCAATGAGTTTCAGGCCAGCCTGGGCCCTGAGGGGGATGGGAGGAGAAAGGAGGACTGTCTGGCTATCCAGGGAAACAATGATTATAAATGCAAATTTTCTCCTTGTGTTTTGTTTATTGTTGAGACAGGTTCTGACTATGTACCTTTGGCTTGCCTGAAACTTGCTGTGTAGATCAGGTTGGTCATGAACTCAAGAGATCCACTGCCTCTGTCTTTTTCTTGAGTGTTGGGATTAAAACAGTATACCACTACATCCAGAAAGGTATGTATTGAGGCCACCATGGACAACTTAGTGGTAAGACCCTGCCTAGAGATTTGGGGATACAGCCAAATGGAAGAACAGAGCATCTGCCTAGCATGTGTGAGGCCCTAGGCCCAATTCCCCAGTACCACAGGGAAAAAGCTCGAGTTTTTCTATGTTGATCAACTACCATTTCTTAAAAGACAAGTATCCAGAGAGTCTCCAGAGACTTATGTTTCTCTGACAATGGTTCTCTATCTAGAAAAGGGACAATGTTGTCCCCAAGGGGACATGTAACAATATCACATGCATTTTAGGTTGCCAAAAAGGGAGGGAAGTTGCTACTGGCATTGCTGTGGGACAATAGTATTGTATCCTGTAAAAATTTGTCACTTGTATTTGTTTAATAAAATGCTGATTGGCCAGTAGCTAGACAGGAAGTATAGGCGGGATGACCAAAACAGGAGAATTCTGGGAAGAGGAAAGGCTCAGTCTGCAAAGGAAGCAAGATGAGAATGCCTCACTGATAAAATGTACCAAACCATGTGGCTAACACAGACAAGAATTATGGGCTAATTAAAGATGTAAGACTTAGTTAATAAGATGCCTCAGCTACTAGGCCAACCAGTTTATAATTAATGTAGGCCTCTGTGTGTTTCTTTGGGACCTGGCGGGACAGAAACCTCTGTTAACATGGCATCTTGTGGGTAGAGGCCAGAGATGCCACTAAACATCTACAATGAACAAGGCAGGTTCCCACAGCAAATCATTCAGCAATGTGTGCAAACCAAGAGACCCTAGACTGTAATGAACTACACAAATGACACTGCACAGCTAACACCAAAACATGTTTTATAAATCTGTATTCAACTGTGTGCTTTTGGTCCAAGCTATCCAAAGTACAATTCACAGCAACTGTTAGTGAAGCCACATCTACGCCGTATCTTTCTTTGCAGATGTACATATGTGTTTGCATGCTGGGGTTACAGGAACCTCTGAGTTGCCTGATGTGGGTTCTAAGATCTGAACTCAGGTCCTTATAGAAGAGCAAGAGCTTTCCTCCAGCCCACACATCCCTCTCTTACCCTCATACTTAAAATCTACAGTAAGAATATCTTCTACAAATTAAGTTTAGAACACCTTTTAATAATTATATTAAGAATATCTTCTCGGGACTGGAGAGATGGCTCAGAGGTTAAGAGCATTGCCTGCTCTTCCAAAGGTCCTGAGTTCAATTCCCAGCAACCACATGGTGGCTCACAACCATCTGTAAAGGGGTCTGGTGCCCTCTTCTGGCCTGCAGGTATACACACAGACAGAATATTGTATACATAATAAATAAATAAATATTTTTTTTAAAAAAAAAGAATATCTTCTAGTAAGATCTAACTCTGTTTTAAAAAAAATATCAAATTCATGAAGCCACTATAAACTTGCCTCTGTGTCTGCCCAAGTTGCTCCTTCAGGAGGATAGGCCTATGGTGGAGTGAGAATGTCAAGCCTGGGATTTTGAGATTCTGGAAGTATTCCCCCCCCCCCCATCACTCTATAGGAAGAAATGTAACTGCCTCAAGCCCTGAAGTCACTCCTGTCTCTCTGCCAACAATCACCTTTCTTACCTACAATTTCTGAGCTGCAGGCAGCACTGTGTACAAAGCATATGCAGGCCCAGAGAAGGGAGTGAGCAAGACAGAAACCCAAGAACTATTTCTTGATCAGCTCTATAACATACCCAACACAGTATCTTATTTCAATATTATAAGAAAATCTATCTTTAGAATCCATCATAAAGCCAGAGGTCAAGCCCACTCTTTTGTTGTAAAATTACCACTAGTCCACATATCAGATACATAATTTTGATCTCAAAAGGGTCTGTTGCCTCTCTTCTTTCCAGACTTTGCTCCTTACCACCCTTCCCCCCACAGAGAAAGGAAAGGGTCTGTGACTTACAATTCTGTCTGGCCCATAGATCTTTTCCAGTTGTTCAGCAACTTTTCTTGTCCCATCTGGGCTTCCATCATCTATGATTATAATTTCATAGTTGATCGCACTAAAATAAAATTTAAATTTATATTAATGTTGGGTGATAATCTCTCCAATTTTTAAGTAATTTAAGTTGAAAGTCAGGAGAGTCAGGATATTCAAGGTCATTTCAGCTCTAGTGATTTTCAGACAGCCTGCAATACCAGAGATCCTATTTCAAAATAAACAAAGCAAAACAATACTTTAAATGATACTAGCAAATTTACATTAAAAAAAAATCTGGAATTTATCTGACTTAATTTTACATTTATTTATTTATTTATTTATCTATTTATTTATTTATTTTGTTTTTCAAGATAGGGTTTCGTTGTGTAGCCCTGGCTGTCCAGGACTAGGCTGTCCACCTGCCTCTGCCTACAGAGTGCTGGAATTAAAGGTATGAGCCACCACCGAATGGCTATTTCACTCTTAAATTTATTTTCCATTATATTCACAGAATAGTTTCTACTCTAAAAACCAATAAACATTTATTGTCTGGAGGATAAATCCTACTTGATGTACACATAATCACCATTACCCACCCACCCCCTTTTATAAGGCATAAAGGGGAAGAAAAAGGAAGCAACACCTTCCTCTTGCCTCTGTTTGGTTGGAAATCAACCAGGAAACAACAGACTGTTAAAGGTTGTGAAAGTTGGGGGCTGGAGAGATGGCTCAGTGGTTGAGAGCATTGCCTGTTCTTCCAAAGGTCCTGAGTTCAATTCCCGGCAACCACATGGTGGCTCACAACCATCTGTGGGGAGGTCTGGCGCCCTCTTCTGGCCTTCAGGCATACAGACAGAGTGTTGTATGCATAATAAATAAATAAATATTAAAAAAAAAAGGTTGTGAAAGTTAGCTCTGGCAAACTTGGCAGGAAAGAAACAAAACCTCAAAGTCAAGAACAGGTACAACAGGGACTGGGGAGATGGCTTGGTGGGTAACAGTACTTGTTATACAAGCAACAGGACCTGAATTTGGATCCCCAGCAGCTACAAGAATGGGTATAACTAAGCATTCCTGTAATTCCAGCACTGGAGGTGGGTGGGAGGTTGAAACCCCCCAAATAAGAAAAGTTCTAAGCCAAGAGAGACCCTGTTTCAAACAATTCAAAGTGGAGATTGAAAGAGAAAGGCAGCAGGTGTTCTCTGCTCTGCTAGCCTGTGTACACACCCAGCCCACAACACACACAAGAGTAGGGACCCTGACCACAACAAAAAAGATGTTGATTTTGGAAAAAGGTATGTCACAAAGTGAAGCCTTTGTTTGTTTGTTTTTTGGTTTCTCTGTAAAGCTTTGGAACCTATCCTGGAAACCAGGCTGGCCTTGAACTCAGAGATCCACCTGCCTCTGCCTTGATGCCACCAATGCCCTCTTTTCTGTTTGTCTGGAGTGCTGTGATAAAGCGTGCCCACCACTGTCTGCTGTGAAGACAGTCTTAAGCAAAATTCCTCCCTTCCTGATTTCAAACAAGCCAGAGGGTCAGGTAAATGAAAAAACCAGAACTACATCTGAGATGTAGCTATTCCTATTAATCCTCATTTTGATTCCAGAACATCCACTTCATTGGCAGAGTTCCATTCTCTAGCACAATTGACTCCCAAACCACAAAAAAAAGATACCCCAGAACTTCAGAAGCTGAGGCATTCCAACCCAGACCTAGGTTACAATGTAATGAAAGGGAGCAGGGAACTGGAGTGGGGAGGTACAGAGTGTTGGACTCATAAATTAAATAGGGCAAAAATACCGTAAAATCAGCATACAAAGTCAAAGCATATTAAAATGTTTCGGTTAAATTCTCTAATTTGGAAAAAGCTGGCAGAACCAATTTAAAAAATAAAACCTAACGAAAAAAAATATCTATTACCCATGGAAGGGCCACTATATGCAAACTGATTTTTATTCAGATATAATCAAAAGAGCACTCCTAAGCCTGACCAGTGGTGGTAGCAAGCCTTTAATCCCAGCGCTTGGGAGGCAGAGGCAGGTAGATCTCCAAGTTTGAGGTCAGCCTGGTTTATAAGAATGAGTTTAAGGGCAGCCAGGGCTACAAAAAGAAAACCCTGTCTCGAAACACCAAAACCTAAAACAAAACAAAAACAACAGCGACTCCAAATAGACAAACAACATAACAACATCAAGCCCAGCAATCCTGGCCCTGAGTGGTGGTGCACCCTTCAGGCCCATCCAGCATTTTGGGAGGCAGGCTGTTGTGAGTTCCAGGCCAGACAGGACTATGCAGTTCTGAGATCTTGTCTCAAACAAACAAGGCTGTCTATGGTTTTTGCCAATCAGTATGGTGAGTTGGGCTTTCTGTAAAGAGAAACTACACATCAAGCATTTTGTTTGGTTTTTCTGAGACAGGGGCTGCTAATGTAGCCCTAGCTGAACCTGAATCTGCTACATACAATCTGTCTGCCTCTGCCTCCTTTGCACCACCCAGCTTGGCATTTTTCTTACTGCTAGACAACATGGGCACAGCGTTCTCGTTTGTCTTTGAAAAGCAAAGGTCAACGAACAAACAAAAAGCTCTGGAAACAATCTGTGTTCTCTGACAAGACTAGTCTAAATAAACAGCGCTCTGCTACGGTATCCTACCTAACTTGCAAAATCACGTTTGTGTACGTTGATAGGAAAAGATCGCCCAAAATTACCAAAGCATCATGACACTCATCTGCCCGTCAAACAACTGTCTCCGTACTGCTCTCAGGAGGCATTTTATTTAGTTTATTAGGAGACCTTTATAAAAAATTGCGTAACACTTCCAATGTCAAAATTCCCGTTTCTAAGGGACAGGAATGGGCTCAGTAGAACACTGCCTAGCACTGAGCAAGGCTCAAACACACAAACTAACAAGACCCAGTTCCTAATGTCGGTGCCACAACAGCGCTGGGCGAGGGTGCTCTCTGTCAGCACTTCCCTGACAGCGCAAACATCAAGCTTACGTAAGCGCTAGGCCCCGGGGGTGCGGGTGAGAGCGCCGGCTCGGGACACCCGGCTCTGGCGGCCGATCGTGGGCGCCTGGAGAGGGATGAGGTCAGGTTTCAGCCTCACCCCCGAAGTAAAAGCCGAGCCAGTCCTTTCACGAGAAAGGCGGGGGTGGGGGAGCGGAGGCCAGAGCGAGCCGTCACTAGTGAAACGCAGATCTCGCCAGAGACCTGAGCGGGAAGGAGAGACGCACGGGAGACAGCCGCGGGGCTGTCCGCCACGGCTTTCCTCGCTGGGAAAAGCCTCGAGCAGGCTCGGGCGGGAGCCGAGGCCGGGCCTCGGTGGGTCCCCTCGCGCGGCCAACCGCCGCCGCGCAGCCCGCGGCCGGCAACGCGCGAGAAACTTCTTCTACCTCTCGGAGAAGCTCTTCACCAGCAGCCACACGATGAGCGGCAGGTTCTCGCGCTCGTTGTAGGTAGGCAGAAGGACCGAATACTTGTCCTGTCGCGAGGAGCGGGCCTGCGGCGGCCGCTGAGACGCTGCACCGCGGCGACTCGCCCCCGTGGAGGCCATGACGGGTCTGCGCGAAGCACCGGAAGCGGAAGTGCGTCACCGGCGTGGAGCGTACCAAATTCCGGGGCCCGAAGGAGTCTTGGCTCTCCTAGGCCTCAATGTGGTTCCCTGGAAAGGCTCCGATTCTGCGACTCTTTCAAGTCGCCTCCGAAGGTCTCCTCCGGAAACACCCGTTCGTTTCATTTCCTCAGGCTCTAGGAAGCGTCTTAGTCTTCCCCGTAGCTATAAGATGGGTAACAGGAAGCGGAAGTTACTTCCAGGCTACTTCCGGAAGAGACTGTCATGGCCGCCCAGGAGGACGTAGCGGCGTTACAGGATGAAATTACCCGGCGCGAGGAAGAGCTGGCTTCGCTGAAGCGGAGGCTGACTGCAGCCCTGGCGTCTGCGCCGGAGCCCGAGCGTCCGGTCCCGTTGCCGCCGCTGCTGCCCAAGGCCGAGCTGTCGCGGGCCGAGATCCTCCGCTACAGCCGGCAGCTGTTGCTGCCGGAGCTGGGCGTGCGCGGTCAGCTGCGCCTGGCGTCGGCTTCGGTGCTGGTGGTGGGCTGCGGCGGGCTGGGCTGCCCGCTGGCGCAGTACCTGGCGGCGGCCGGCGTGGGTCGCCTGGGGCTGGTGGACCACGACGTGGTGGAGACGAGCAACCTGGCGCGCCAGGTGCTGCACGACGATGCGCGGGCCGGCCAGGCCAAGGCTCGCTCGGCGGCCGCCGCGCTGCGCCGCCTCAACCCGGCCGTGGAGTGCGTGGCGTACGCGCGCGCGCTCAGCGAGGCCTGGGCGCTCGAGCTGGTCCGCGCCTACGACGTGGTGGCCGACTGCTCGGACAACGTGCCCACGCGCTACCTGGTGAACGACGCGTGCGTGCTGGCCGGCCGGCCGCTGGTGTCGGCCAGCGCGCTGCGCTTCGAGGGCCAGCTGACTGTCTACCACTGCGACGGCGGGCCCTGCTACCGCTGCGTCTTCCCGCGGCCGCCTCCGGCCGAGACCGTGACCAACTGCGCCGACGGCGGCGTCCTCGGCGTGGTGCCCGGCGTGCTGGGCTGCGTGCAGGCGCTCGAGGTGCTCAAGATCGCCGCCGGGCTCGGGCCGTCTTACAGCGGCAGCCTGCTGCTCTTCGACGGCCTCGGCGGCCACTTCCGCCGGATCCGGCTGCGGCGTCGCCGGCCCGACTGCGCCGTGTGCGGGCAGCGGCCCACCGTGACCCGCCTGCAGGACTACGAGGCCTTCTGCGGCTCCTCGGCCACAGACAAGTGTCGCGTCTTGAAGCTCCTGGACCCCGAGGAACGGATTTCCGTAACCGATTACAAGAGGCTTCTGGATTCCGGAGCGCCCCACGTGTTGCTGGATGTCCGGCCTCAAGTGGAGGTGGACATCTGTCGTCTGCCGCACGCCCTCCACATCCCTTTGAATAAGCTGGACCAGAGGGATGCCGACAGCCTGAAGCTCTTAGGGGATGCCCTCCGGGAAGGGAAGCGAAACTCGGAGGAAGGGGCTGCTCTCTCTCTGTATGTGATTTGCAAACTGGGGAACGACTCCCAAAAAGCCGTGAGGGTCCTGCAGACCTTAAAGGCAGTGCCAGAGCTAGACTCTTTAACTGTTCAGGATATTGTAGGGGGACTCATGGCCTGGGCCGCCAAAATTGATGAGTCGTTTCCACAGTACTGAGGTAGCCGCGTGCAGGTCACATGGATGGTTGTGATACCTCGAGGATCTTCAGTCATGTAGGGAAGAGCCTGGGTCCACGGCCTCTGAACAAATAGACTCTTGCAAGGAGGTTTTTGAGAAAGCAGGCTAAAATTGTTTGAGAGCTGCCTTGTGTCTGGGGCCCTTGTACAGTGTGCCTTCAGCATATAGCTTGGGATGTGACAGGGTTTTTGTTTCCCCTCTGTTGCAGTCACAATGCGCTCTGGACCATCCATTTTATGCCTGGAATTAGGACGCAGTTTTACTTCCTCTGAGTCTAATTGGATTACTCACAGATGGTACACTTGCATTCAGCCCACTAAGGTATTCTTTGGAAGGCTGGAGAAGTGACTTAGCATTGGCTGCCCTCTCCCAGAGGGGATCACTCGTGTGCTGGCTCACAACTGTCTGTAGCTCCAGTCCCATGAGGTCAGATGTCTCCTTGCCTCTTCCAGCACTAGGCAGGATCTTGGTGCACAGGCTTACTCATAACGTTTTAAAATAAAAAATAAATTAAAAAAAAGTTTAAAAAAGATATTTGAGTCTTATTTCTAATTAAAATGTTAGGATATACACTGTAGACATAGATAACTACAGAGTGTTTTCATTACCTGGAATTTGGTCATTCAAGACCTGCCATGAATATCAGAATGCAATCTTGATAGCAAAATAAAGGAAACTGATTTGTGGACCATCAGCTTCCCTTAGAAGTTGCTAGCATTTTTCTTGTACTTAGCTTCCTTGTCCACCTTAATGGCATACACATGAGACATTTGCTTAACTGCATTGTCGTTGGAATCTTCTAGTCCAAATCCCAGCCTTTGCTCCTACCCCTTTGTCTACTTTGATTCCATCCACTTTATTTCTGAATTTTTATGTAGGTGTTTTTATGTTTGTTTACAAGGTAAACAGTTTCACTAGGCCCGTTGTTGCAGGTCAGTCTATCCAGCTACTCTAGAGGCAGTGGCAGGAGGATCATAAGTTCAAGGCCTATCTGAGTTACAGAGTGTGTCCAAGGTCAGCCTGGGCACAAGTGACAACTGACCTGTCTCAAAAAGTAAAAAGGAGGTAAGAGTCAGTGGTAGCAGGCCGAAGAATTTGGGCTTCATTTCCAGTACCACAAATAGTTTGATGAGCTGGCAGACAGTCCACACTACTTCCAGTGTGTATAGCCAGGTCAGTGTTTTTCGAGACAGTGTTTCCCTGTGTAGCCCTGACTGTCCAGTCCTCAGTAAACCAACCTAGCCTTGAACTCAGAGAGCTACCTGCCTCTGTCTCCCAAGTAATGGGATTAAAGGCATGTACCACCACTGCCCAGCTTCTCTGCATTTTCTGGCTTTTTTCTTTTTAAATTTATTTTTATTTTTTTGGTGCCATGACTCAGATACGAACTTTTTTTTTTTTTTAAGATTTATTTATTATGTATACAACTTTCTGCCTCCATTTTATACCCACACGCCAGAGGAGGGCGCCAGATCTCTTTACAGATGGTTTGGAGCCACCATGTGGTTGCTGGGAATTGAACTCAGGACCTCTGGAAGAGCAGACAGTGCTCTTAACCACTGAGCCATCTCTCCAGCCCCCAAACTTTTTTTTTTTTTTAAGGATTAAAAACATTATAGCTAAAAAAAAAAAAAAAAAAAAAAAAAAAGCCCTCTGCAGGCCAGAGTCACCTCTTTCAAAGCACTGATAATCTTTTTTTTTTTCTTTCTTTAAATAAGAAAGGGATTAGTAAGAGTCAAAGCTAGGCCAGGCTTTACTTTTGGCTATGAGACACGTGCCACACTGACAACATCCCCTGAATGGCATGGTGGGCTGGAGCAGGTGTATCATAACTACTCCTAGGTACCATGCACCTGCATGCCTTTGTTTCGGAATCCTTTATTTACTTTTGACACAGGGCCTTGTTTGTTGTCCAGGCTGGCAATTGTGTGCCTCCTTGTCAGACTCCTCTGCTATTTTGATGAACTGGTGATGGCAAGTAATTTTTTTTAAAAGATGTCTGTGTAGGTAGGAGAACTGGCTGCTCTCCCAGAGGTCCTGAGTTCAATTCCCAGCACCTACATGGTGTCTCACAACCATCTATAATGGGATCTGATGCCCTCTTCTGGCCTGCAGATGTACATGCAGCCAGAGCGCCCATAGACATAAAATACACAAGTATAAGCAAATCTCTTTTAAAAAATTAAGTGTTTGTAACTGCCTGGTAGACCCAAGTTCAGTTCCCAACACTCACATGGTGGCTCGCAACTGCCTGTAACTCCAGTTCCAGGGGATTCAAGAGTTTATTTTGGCTTCCGTGATGACTGCACAAATGTGTGCAGACATGTATGTAGGCAAACACTCATACAAATAAAATAAACCTAAAAAAATAAAAAGGAAGAAATCAGCTTCTCCTTGTGGTTGGAACCTGAATGTTGACAAATTAGCCTGCAAAGGAGAAGACTTTTTTTTAAGGATGGGGAAGTGCTGGTGTGGACACAGACAAGCATGGGCCTCCATCCTGGACACGTCCACCAGGCATCACACCGGAGCACACACAGAAACACTCCCTGGGAATTGAACCCAGAGCTTAATGCAACTAGGCAAGCCTTCTTTCACTGAGTCCTTCAAAATTGTGGTATTCCAAGCTCTGGTTTCACTAAGTTGCCCAAGCTTTTCACAAGTTGAGCACACTTGTCACCAGTTCCCTCTTAGACAAAGGAACTTGGGGATTCAGGAGTCCCTTTCCCCTCCCAAACGAATCCCCTTTCCCAAGGAGACAGCATAGGCAGTGAACCTGTAGGGAGCAGCCACAGGCTCACTCTCCAGACAGGGTCTCACCGTGTAGCTCTGGCTGGCATGGGACTTTATATGTAGACCAGCCCGGCCTTGAGATCACAGAGATCTGCCTGCCTCTGCCTCCCAGTACTGGGATTAAAAGATGTGTCATCATGCCCAACTAACAGGTTCTTTATTATGTAACTCATGCTCCAAGGTGGAGCCACACTCATTAAGATGCATCAGACCCTTCAGAGTGTCCAGGGTCAATAACTTCTCCCTGGGCTCCTGTGTGGTCATAGCTAATCAGACTCTGAAATGGCCACTGAACCCCTGGGATTTACAGATAGGCCAACGGCTGAATGGGTCAGGGTTAATGTGCAGTGAACTGGGCAGAGATTAGCTTACATCTGGGGACTGCCACTCAGTTTAGCTGCCATGACATATGGCAGGTCACAGGAGAGGCCCACAGACTACATGTCCATACCTGCTGCTCCACAGGCAAGAGGGCTTTGGAAGAATGTTCTTGAAGCCTAGGGCAGTGAGCAAATGGGTAGAACTGCTTTTGCCTCTGGACTCTGGTTGTCCTTCCTTATTAGACTGAGCCTCAGCCTCCACGCAGCTTCCCTGAAAGTTTCCACCACCTTCTATTCCCTAGCAGCGGACTCCGAAGTCATCAAGGCAGACACACTTTTTGCTCTCCCAGAGCTCCAGGCACTGTAGAAGAGAGTGAGTCCTTAAATACCAGGGACAAGGCTGGGCAGTGGTGGTGCATGCCTTTAATCTCAGCACTTGGGAGACAGGCAGGAGGATCACTATGAGTTGGAGGCCAGCCTGATCTACAGAGCGAGTCCCAGGACAGCTATAGCTGTACAGAGAAACCCTGCCTTGAAACCATCCCCACGACAGAAAAACAACAACAACAAACCCAAATCAGGGACAGGGTTGCAACCAGTAGCGTAACAGGAAGGGTCCCTGCTTAAGGATTTCATTGCCAAGTAACAAATCACACAAGGATGTGCAATTTAGATGCTTATCGCTAAGCCTGATGACTCAAGTTCAGTGTGGGGTTCAATAACCTCAAACATGCACCAAAGATAGGAAATATTTCATGGTCGGGCCACCAGGCCCTTGTGTGCCAGGGCCTGTGACTCCACACAAGTGCACAGTGGGAACTGCACACCATAGACATTCTGAGAGTCACAGTTGGGGGGAGGTGCCTACTGGCATTGAGGAGAGAGAGGAAGGGCTCTGACGGTGGCACTCCACACTGCCCAATACGTAGTGTGAGTAGCCTGCACAGGTCAACTGTTTCGAGACGAGAATTCTGCTTTTAATTTTTTCTTTGTTTTAATTATGTGTGTATGGTTTTTGCTATTGAGGCCAGAGGCATTGGATCCCCTGGAGCTAGGGTTGGAGATGGGATGGATGTGAGCCACCTCTGGCTGGGTGCTGAGAACCAAATGAAAAAGACACTAAATCAGGTGGACTAAGGTGAAAATGTCCCCTTTATAATGGGTTCGGGGTTGGTACCCACCTAGGCTTGGCCACCCTTGCTAGAGCATTGTGTCCCACTTCCTCTTGAGTTTGTCATCCCAGCATGTGGGCCTCTGAGTGCAGCACCCTCCCCTCCCATAGGCAAAGAAGGCAACACCAGCCTTCCCCGCTGGGGGGTCTTGCGCAGGTGTGTGTGTGTGTGTGTGTGTGTGTGTGTGTGTGTGTATGTGTGTGATCTTGAGAAACCTTTCCCCAGCAGTGTTCTCCATCGGGACTGCAAAGGCCAGAGACTAGGGTCTTCCAAGTCCTGTCACTGGGCAGCGTCCAGCCAGTGACCAGAGCATTAGGGTTGGGTGTTGGGGTTACTGTACAGTTCCCACCTCTTAGGGTTGTTAGTGACACCCCAGGATCCCTTGTTATGTTTCCGATAGACAGTGCAGGCACACATAAATAACCTGCCTCGAAGTTTTCATTTCAGACTAGTGAGAGGGCTCAGCAGGCAAAGGTGTTTGTCACCAAGCTGACAACCTGAGTTCAATCTCTAGGACCCACAAGATGGAAGGAAAGAACTGACTCCCACAAGCTGTCCTCTGACCTCTACACACGCACAGTGGCATGAGAATGCTTTCACGTGCATTGGCACGGACACAGACATACACATATGTAAATAAATAATGAGACCGGAGAGGTGGCTGTTCTTCAAGAGGTCCTTAGTTCAATTCCCAGCACCAACATGGCAGCTCACAACTGTCAATAGCTAGTTCCATGGGATCCAATGGCTTCTGGTGTGCAGGCAGAAAACCCATACACATAAAATACATAAATCCTAAAATAAATTAACAAATGTAAACATTATGATTGTCTCCACTGACTTCCAGTGAGTCTGACAGGATGTCCAGATGGGAGACCACTGTTTTAAGAAAGCACCTTCTCTGCTAAAGTCAAGGCAGGGACCTGAAGGCAGGCCTGCTTGCCATTTCATACAGTATTACCTTTGGCCAAGGAACTCACTTTCCAGCCAGAGAAGGAAAGCAGGGACCATGAAGGATGCTTCTTGTGCTCAACTGGCTTTCTCATGCAGCTCAGGTTATCTGCCCAGGGGATGGTGCACCCCTCGGGATGGACTTGGCCCTCCTACACTAAAGAACAATTAAGACAATTCCCAGAAGACATGCGCACAGGGTGGTCTGATCGTGGCTGTCCCCTGACTGGGGCTCTCCTCTCAGGCGGCTCTAGGCTGTATCAGCGAAGGGATAGAATGAGTAGGG